GATAACTATCAAAACGCCTGCCATTTGTTATAAATAAATCATTTTATATTGACTTGCTATGGTCGCATGGCAACGAATGTCAATATATCCAGCTATCACACTTTCATGCAAATCCGTAAAGACTGCTAATTTTGTTTGGTTAAATGTGCTCACTACTTTTCACTCATTAAGATAGAACCGCCTAATTAATTGATCATTGGCCCCTATATGCACTGTGTGATACCCAAACTTAGTTATTTTTTTCACTCTAATGATTCGGAAGTTGTTGTCCTCTATTTGATATATTCCCTCCCTTAACAGGCCCTCAAACAACTTGAGCACAATAGCACTCCGAGATTCAAGTTAACGCCCTCTAGGACCCAGATGCAGACAAGTGCCTCCTTCAATGACATTACAACTGCTGAAACCCAAGCTGCAAACACAACACATTCTCCCGGGTCGGCATTTTCGAATCCTGCTGTTCCCTTACCAATCACTTGTGCATCCGCCTCCATAGACGCTTGCTACGACCCTAACCTCCAGGTGGAGTATCTGCGATACATGGCCAAGTTCATGCCCGCGCCTTGGTTGAGTCGAGCCATCCAAGCGCTAAAAGTGAATCTCAACTTTGTCAAAACGGAATCCCAACTACCTTGGTTCAATGCATTCCTTGGGCGCATGGCTTGGGATATACTAAGGCATGAGAGGTGGCGAAAGCGGATTCAGGAGAGGATTCAAGCGAAACTAAAAAAATTGAAGGTAATCTACTATTGGTACATGGTGGGGGGGGGGGGGGGGAGGCGGATAACAGCTGAAATTCTAAATTATTGTGTAGAAATAGTGGAATGATTAGTGCGTTTGACTAAGCTGGATTATCTCTTTCATTGCTTCAGAATTGTTGGTCAGCTAAATCGCATGCAGTTGAGCAAACAGCCTCACCTACATTAGCTATATTTCCTTCTCTTTGTAGCTTGTTTCAATTGTGAATGAACCGATCGTGACGAGCGTGGATATGGGCAATGAATGTCCAATTGTCACCAACATTAGCAAACCTTACATGGATAATCAAGGTTTGTGGCTCGAGGTGGAAGTGGTCTACACCGGTGGTTTCACTGTCGCAGTTGAAACTACTGTAAGTTTCCTTGCTTACTCGATGGGTAACTTTCAACCCCCTTGCTCTGCTTTGGGACCTATTTTACTCAGAGCAAGTATGGAGAGTGCAAATTGGGAACAATTGTGGCAGAATTTCATTCTATATTGCATAACAACAGCAATGACGCCAGCTTTCGGCGGCGGTTAGCTTTAAGTCCTCAGAGTGTCTTAGATGTCGAAATAAAATCCAGGAAGATGAGGAAGCGGTTTGTAAGCACATTGATCAGTCAAAATGTGTTCTTTTGACGATTACGTGGAAAATTTATTGATTTTGGGGAAAAACAATTAATTAGATCAACTAAGTAAATAGTGGGGGGGGGGGGGGTACACTTCAAATGGCGTTGTCTTTATTCCTCTCACCCTTCCCCATAATTTTGATTATAGGTGAACACCAGGAAACTGGAGAGACTTTCGCGTCAAAACAGTATCATTAGCCAAAGTAAGTAAGCAAATGACAAGCCTTTTCGAATTTCCAAGATCTTATTTTTTGTACTTCCTTCCACTTTGGCTTCAGTCTTGTTCTCTCTTCTCCAATTCCTGTCGATCTCTGCGCACCATGCTCGTGTGTTCCCCTTAGCCCCGAAAGTGGTCTCACTTATTTTCCTTTTTTAAAGTTTTGTCCGTGACGGTAGTCGTACTTCCACATTTGCATCACACTAATTTAGTCGGTAATGCAATATTTGTTGGAATTGGGCTTTGTTAATGAAACAGCTTGACCAGTTATAATTTAATTGCTTGAGGGCTTTACGATTCTACAAGCAAATCAATCGATTAGTAATCTCTGTGACTCGTGGGCATGTACTCACGCAACAATAAATAGGGTCAAGTTGTGAGTTTTGAACTATGGGATTTGACTCATTGAGCTATGAATCTCATGAGATTAAGGTTAAATCAAGGCTACCCATAACTGAACTTAATTTAGCTAGTTGATACTTTGACTTGATATCCCAACTTGTTTCGTTCCTCATTGTATTCGGCTGTTTCCAATGCATAGAATCTCTACAATTTTCCAGGTCTATCGAACATTCCCTAACTCTAAACTTTAATTTTATTTTATAATATTTATTCTCCTATATTAGAGAATTAATGGTATGACGGAAACCATTCGTTGATTATGGCGACCACTTTCTATACATATTTATCTTTGGTCACATTATAACTTGTGTGGTTGGTTGATTTGAAATGACCTCAACTTTGCACTCTTATACTGGAAGTTTATTTTAGATTTTACTTGCTAGTGTTTTAGTTCATTTGGTTAGTTGAAAAGGCCTAATTACTGAATTTTAAACCATAAATTAAGGCATTTCTCTCCTTTAACAATACGTTTGATGCTCAAGTATAATAAGTAGCAATTAATTAGATTTCAGTTTTGGTATTCATTCTATTTATTTATATCAAATGGTGGGCGTTTTGATAGTTATCATTAGCCCCTTAGCTGACTTCGGGCTTCACAGAGGGGAGGAGGAATATCAAAGTGAAAAAGTCGAGAGGGAGGGAGGAGGAACAGAAAAGCGTTTCAACGATGTAAAGAGACAGACACAAAGGTAGAAAAAAGGTGAGGTGAGTACTGTGGAAGGAGTCGAATATCACATACAGTAGGGTGATGATATTTTGAAGTGAGAAGTCAACTGCCGGTCAGCAGACCTTTTGACCGTATGAATATACGTTGCCCAGGGTGCACCACGTAGAGGTAAGTCTATCGCTCACCCCGATGCTCAAGTATAATAAGTAGCAATTAATTAGGTTTTAGTTTTGGTATTCATTCTTATCTCTTGGTCAATTCTCCCTAACAGACGCTTCCACCTTCGTTGGCGCAACTACCGCTTCTCCAGCGCCCTCAATTGCGGAGCCCACCGTAAGAAATTTGGCAGCTTTTCTTTCGGACGAAGAAGACAGTGCGGACTCCTCAACAGATAGTGAACGCGAGACCACTCTAACTAGGACCATCGTCTCTCTTCTTCCCACTTCCAATTCTCCTCTCGATCTTACTGCTTCTGCTTCCGCTACTAGTTCGAGCATTCCAATTAATTCAAGCAATTCCGCCTACAAACTGCCCACTGAAGTGGAAGATACTGAAGGGAGGTGGGTAGTAATATCTGCTAGTAGTCAATGACTTGCTAATGTGCTTTCATTTTAGCTCCATTGGACCAGCGAAGGGCCGTTTTCATCGCATTTTTGACAAGATTACACGATCATTGTACGTTCAGATGGCGGATAGCAGGCTGCTCCAATATAGTTTAGATCTGGTAACTCAGACGACACTGCATTTGAAACTGGAGGTTAGTATGACATGCTCTTTTTTTTATAACCTTGCCTACACGTTTTTCTTCTCATGCCTTCTCTCCATTCAAGTCCCACTACTCTTACCACATTATTTAGTGGGGTTGAGAAATCTTTGAAAGTGCGTTGATGTTTAAAAACACGCGTAATCTCCACGAAAGTACAGTCTGACTGGCTAGTGTAGCCGATCTAACATTGGGAACTGATCTCCTGCACTGTTTGCATCTGCTTTTCATATGGATGAGATTGCTGCAGTCTAATGATTTTGCTTAAGCACTGGTTAGCTAGACTTATCGTGTTGCGTCCAATGGAAAGTTGAATGCTTGGACTCTTAATTAGTTGTGTTGAACACGTCAGCACTCTTACATTCACTTATAACGCACGCATGTTGTCCACTTTAGATAACGATGCTGCATGGAAATCTAGTGTTAAACATTCCGCCTCCTCCAAGTAATCGTCTTTGGTACGGTTTCCGAAACAATCCCAACCTTCGTGTCAAAGTGAAACCTAAAGTTGGCGAGTACCTGTTCAGCTTCCCTCGAATCTTAGAGTCTATTGAGAAGAGGATTATTACCGAGTTTCAGGTTAGCCCTCTCCAATCTCAATCTTGTATTTTCCTACCAACTCATATAATCATCTACTTTAGTTTTTTTCAATTATCCAGGATAATTGTTAAATATATTATATTTCGGCACATTGAAACATTAATCTATTTATCAGTGGCTCCTTATATTGGCCAGTGCATGTGGGCCTCGTTTAATATATAATCTTTAATGTGACACAACCAACTGATCCACCCTATTGGTTTTTATTTTCATGAGTGCGTGTTCCCACCACTTTTGCAATATTCTCTTTTCAAAATATGTACGCGCATATCTTATTCGTTGTGGTTGAGCACCAAGATGTCTTTTCAGAATCCCGTAGCTTCTAAAAACGCGTGCAAATTTGTTGAAGTGTATAACATTTATTGTTGGATCATGAATACTACTTAAGTTGGATGTGCTGTAAGAGTAATACTCATATAAAAGCATAATGATAGCCATATAATCTTTACATCTTTACTGGATATGCTAACAGACAAGCTAAAACCTGACTATTAAATAGGATGGCTGCATTGTACCAGAGAAAAGTTCACCATTAGTCCTCGCTCATCACTGGATTTAACTAAAAGTGCGTTCAAGCCACATTAGTTCGCTTTCCACTTTAAGCCGCTTGTTTTTATCCTTTACTGACTGCCAAATATGTCCTAAATTTCCCCATGTTTTCGTGACTTTTTTTTCCTGGTCAATTGCCCAACATTATCACGTCACTCCATTAAATGCGATAAATCGATTTTTATGTATTTTCTATAACAAAGTAAACAAGTTCTTAGCTGTTTTATTCATGAGGTAGAATAAACATTTATTAGGAATAAGTTAATTAACTTTCATAGGAATGCGGGCAGCTCCGGAATCAATAAGTTGCCCTCATCTTTTCCCACGCACGAAAAAGCCCGGATGACATGATTTCGTGTGATTTTTTAGCCTTCGTTTTAAACTCGTACGGCTATTTCCAAATGACTGGTTTACACCTTTTTCGATTTTTTTTTCAGCGAGTCCTTGTTTTGCCTAATATGGATGATATTGTGTTACCAATGCTCTTCCCCGAAGAAAACTTGGAAGGCCAAAATACCACGGAGTCAAAATCTGAAAACTCTGAAACTGATTTTGTCCCAATTCCACCCCGACAGTTACTCCCGCAAAAAACTCAAGATGCATCCAAAAAAGTTGAGATGAAAGACGATACGAACAGCGACGGAGCAAGTTCTCCAATCTGAAAAAAATAGTTAACTCAGGCGCACTTTTACTCTCTTCCCTGTCATTCCCGTTCAAGCCCTCCCACTCCCCAATGTTTTACATTTTTGTGGCTCGTGTCTGTAGCTGTGTCCTCTTTTATTGAACTTCGTTTTCTTATTCGACGGATCTCCTTCTTTCCTTCACTTTATTAAGATTATCTTTGGTTGCAAATGAGATTGCTTACTTCGTGTGTAATAAAGTCATAGTCTTTGCGGACTACAATTCATTTTATTTATTGAAACCGAAGAAGGTAGACTAGCAGAGTATATGAAATGGAAGAGTTGGTTAAGGAGCAAGGCGTTCAAAATACCAGCCATCTTCGGCAGACTTTGAGAACTCTGAAATGGGTTTCTCCTCAGTAGGTTTAAAAAAGAGGATTCGGTCATGAAGGCGTGAGGTCTGTCCCTGCCAAAACTCCATTCGATCAGGTTTTACGGCATAACCAACCCTATACGTTCCACAATATAAAAATAAAGAGAATCTACTCACCAAGTTTTCGGCCTAGGCACATTGGAAACATCTTTAAATTGTTCAGCAGCTTCGTCATAAGCCCTCAAAAGAGCGTCTTCAGATGCAAGTGGTTTGCTTTGCTGACTAACGTAGGCGGATATTTGACTATTCTTGGGACGGGAATGAAAGTATTTTTCAGTTTCATCGTCTCCCAGAAGCTCTGCAATCCCATCTACGCGAACCTGACGCTTCAGAGGTTCCCAGTAGAAGAGAAGACTAACGTGCGGATTGTTTAACTAAAGTAATTTCAACAAAAATCAGTTTACAATATCCTGTCCCTTTTGACTCATTGAATTGGTGAAGAAATGGAAACCACGTTCGTCGAGACATTTCAGGAGAACAATCCTCGATCTAGGACGCCCAGATCTAAAAAATACAATAATTTAAAATAAAATACCTTGAAACAGTTGATAAGGTCATCGCATTGGCTTCATATACGTCAGGGCACTTAAGAGCTTCCTCAAACCATTGTTTAAAATGCATTAAAGGATTGCCAAATGCTATGCTACAATCATTCAATCTATCGCTTTCCGCTCGGTAGGGAATTCGCATAGCTAAAGTACACCATTAAAAAAATGCAACTTACACTTGATGTCCAAATAGGCCATAGCCCCCAGATCCTTGTTTTGCAAATGCGCCAAAGTTTAAAGGCCACTATTTAATATAACAAGGCTTCTCAATTATACCATTTAAATTGTTTGTTTTATGTTGTCTTAATTCATTTTTTGGATATATCTAAAGTTCAATGGCATATATATCTCTTCGCAAAGTAAATCGGCAAATATATAGATTTGCAAGTGTGAATTTTTGAATATTTAGTATTTACGATATAATGTTCTCAATATCAGTGTCCGACAGAAATGGTGCGTTTGAAAATGAAATTCTAATCTATTTTGCCCTAATTTTAACGCCTCTGTACTTGGACTACTTTTAAAACTTCGCAAATTATCTACTAATATCAAAATCCTTGAGAAATTCGTTCTCTCTTCTTTGTAATAAAGCGTTCTAATAATATTTTACATTCATGTAACATCCTTACTTGTCTTATTATACATTCTCAATTTTCTCTAAGATTCCATCAAAATCTCCATACTAAGTTCGGACAAATTTGAACTCTAACAATTATTCTCTTTCGTCGTTATATTATTATCTGATCCGTTTCGGCTGAAAATTAGAGAACCTCGGAGTTAGAATTCTATCTAAATGAAATAAGAGTTGACTTTCAGATTTTCCAAAAATAATGATTTAGGTTCGTGTCACAACTACTATTTGATTCGATATAGTCCAATTTGCCTAACTTATGTGCCGACTACATAATTTCCTTGCGCATATGATGTTGGCCGAAGTCACTTACCAAGGGAAAGTCACGTCCTTCATCTTCCAAAGTCATTTCAAAAATGACCGAAAATTTAGTCATGTTGCTTATATAAATACTAAATTTATGCACAAATACTGCATCTTGAAAAGTCAGTGATACTTGATCATTTGTTTCCCCGTTAGTAAATGACTGTTATGGTCGCCTACAATCGCTTATATGGGTTGCTGTGGCTGGGATAAGATGGCTTCTTACTGATATCCGCAAAAAACTAAAATTTGTGACCGATGTTTACCTAATTTAAGCTTCATCGACTCGTGCATAGCTCACTCTCCCAGTAGTAATCTTTGGTCGCTCTTAATAACAGAAGCCAAATTAGAACCGGACAATATTTGGCATCTTAAGCCCCATTCCTTATGCTTGGAGAGAAAATCATCATTGTCTACAGAAAAATATAACAGCCTAATGTGATAAACATAAATACGACATATTCCCTTAAGTTCCATCTCACCGACGATCACATTTACCAGAGCATCACTGTATTAGACTGCAAATACGCTTCCACTACTTTCCATTATCCTTTATTTTAATTAAATAATCATAGCTAACTATTAAGACCCCATTCACGATCGGATATAACAAAATCACTCATCTAAAGAAAGTTACTTTTCTCGTAAACAAATCAATTTATACAAATGCTTAGGGGACACCAATTTAGTTCAAGTCATGATTCTAGATCGGTTTATACACTAATAGTGCGGAATACGTTGAATCCATCCAAAGCAGTGGAGATAATAAGACCAGGAACCTGGGGATGCCAGTGGCTTTCCCGCACCTCCTGTTGTCCGCTATGAAGAAAAAGTAATTGGATAGGCAATTTTTGATCAATTTCAGCAGCAAAAGACTCAGCCGATTCAGTTCCTACTTCTGCGCCCTGCTCGAGACCCAAATCCCACAGACTTGTTGTATTATCCTCTGAGCTTGCCACAAAAGTACCAGCTTCTGTTGGATGCCATTCGATTGATGTAATCGCTTTCTTATGGAACTGAAAATGTAAAGGCAACAAAGAATGTATTCAGTTATGGTTAAAAAAGATGGAATTTCATAATTTTAGAGGTCAAATAAGACCTATAGAGATACTAATACATCACACTGAAGCTGATCTTTTCAGCCTAAGCAATCAAGATTAATGAGAGGAGGGCAAAATCAAACACCCTCTCTAGATGTACTTAATTTAGCCTCTAAACAATAAGACATGCCTTTGGGTTCATTGGATTCGAAAGGGGATATTTACGTGGGATTGATAAAGTGGCTTTAATGAGATTATCACTATTTTAAAGCCAATAAAGTGGATTATCACTAGAAGACTCAAGTGCAAAATCCTTCGTCAAATACAAAGACAAGATTAAATTGTCATTGAATTCATTTGACAGAAGGCGTAGTGCCCATATTTATAACCCACCTATGTTTACTATTTGCCATAATTCACTTACCATTTTGATCTGCCCATCATTTTTAAACGAATCTATTTTGCAATAATATCAACGGTTAGTTTTCTTTTACATAGAATGGATCTAATAATAAAACTAAACTACCCTAATTACAATGAAATCAATAAAAAAGATGGCAATATATCGACCTAAAAAGTATAAATAAATAATGTAAAGGTCGGCTCACATCAAATGAATGCGTGAAGGCCGAGATTGAGCTATCAGAAGCCAATGAGCCTCGTTTCGGTCCATATCGTTGATGTACCATACGAAGATCCCAGACACGAATACACCCATCATCAGCACCAGTAAGAAGAGTTCCCGACTGGAGAGCATTCCATGAGGCCACATTTATATCTGAAGAGTGAGCATCTGGAACAGTAATCATTGCTGAAGCCTAAAGGATAAACGAAGAACGTAAGCATCACATATATCCAGCCTACTTAAACTAAATAAGTAGCCACTAACATTTGGTCCACTGCGTGTGTCCCACACGCGAAAGCTGAGGTCAGTTGACGTTGTAACAAAAACAGTGGGTTCCGTAGGAGACCATTGAATATCTTCAATAGATCCTTGATGGCCTTTATAGGGCTTTTTTGATACTACCCAATTTGAGGGCTAAAAATAAAGTAGCAGCAATTAAGCTTACAATCAATGTGGCGATGGGCTATACATTAGACGAATTGGAGGATCTATAATTGAAATGCTCACATTCTTTAATACTCACCAACAGATCGAAATTATTCACATTAAAATGAAACCAAGACACATTCACCTAACTCATTCTGGTATTTAAGCAACACAGGCTATAAGTGGTAATTATCATCATTATACTAGCAGTAAGCAGTTGCACCAATAAGTATATCAATTCGCAACCAGCAATTAAAATGACCAATCACAATGGTTAACACAGTCAAAATGGATTTCTCCAAACAAAATAGTTAAATTGTAACAACTTTACCTTACCTCATTATTGGAACCAAAATACAACTTCAATACAATGTAAAACAAAGCAATCGTCTTACGCAGGGTCTATAAATGTAGATATCACCATTATTGTCACCAGTTGCCAAGAAGTTGGACGCCGCAGAACAAGGACTCCAGGCGAGACCATAGCCCTCTGTTTTGTGTCCTTTGAATGTGAAGCAGGGTTTAGGAGATTCGTGATTACGGGTATAGTGGGACATAACGGCGGAATCATTCACAGCCAAAAGAGGACGACTCAGGTCCCATATATTCACCTAGGAGAAGCAGGTTCGGTGAAAAACATTTAACTGGGACTAACGGAGACCAAACAGAAACAAAAATAGCAATAACATACTGCAGGAATATGCCGATTACTCTAACACTCACTGTTGAGAGGTGTAACACTATGAAACTCCTTGATGGGAACCGTATTAATAACCAACGAGATAGACTAACTTGACGACTATCACACTCAAACACTTGTCACAGAGAAAGTTTATCATGTGGTCCGACACTTTTAAATCAAGTAAAATGCTAAGTGTTCAGTCTGTAAATTGATTTTCACATAATTTTATAATCATAGCAGTTGAATTTTGATTATGGGAAAATTTACATAGACGAATTAGAAAATACCGATTATGAGTTAACATTAGAAATACCAATAAGAAAATGTGCACTTAACAAAATGCTTGCGTACAGACAAGTTGAAGAAAATAATAAATTTCATAAATAAATTGTTCGACATTAGTTATTTTATTTTTAGAATAAGTATGTCCAATCCTAAAGCAGACAGATACCACATGATGCCTATCTACATCAGAGCATGAGTATCACTTCACAACCACCAATCGAAGCAATTTGTTACAATCGGGCAAAATAGCTACAGCCGAAGTTAAACGTTGGCAAAAATTGATAAATCAACGTTTAAGTATATTAAACATAAGTGATATAAATTCTCAACCAAGAATGATAAAAAAAACACCAAATTTAAATTGGGAGGTTCTAGCGCATCTTACGTATTTGCCAGACCTTACCAAATTCCCCAACCATATACTAAGATCCAAAAGCATACTTTAAGGGAACTACGATTATGAAATGCGAATGGAATCGAAACCAATATTAAATTAAAACAAAGTACAATAATAGGAAAGAGTTGTGAAAATCATGTTGACGTCTTAAAAGCCCAAACAATTATCTAAGTAGAAAATAAATAAAAAAAACAGATAAATCCTCGAGATGAAACAAGTAATGGCGAGGTTGAACAGTCAACTGTAACCAAAGCAAAATTTAACTTAAATAAAATGGACTATCAATTTAAGCTAAGTAAAGTAAGATTTTGAAATTGGAACAAAGGCAACACGGCTTGAAAATTATAAACCTAGCTCCTACCTCTGCAGATTCTGACCAAGTAGCAGCAAAGTACTTATCCTGGAATTTGTGAGTTCTAAGCCGATTGACGGTACCACTCGGATGCTTGATTTTTGCTGCTTCAACCTCAGGAACCTCATCAAGGTCTTCGTCACTCTCTGAATCTGATTCCGATTCTGAATCTTCGTCTTCTTTTACCTCCTTAAAATTAATTGATAGCACGCATATTTGTACACATAAATAATATAATGAATAATAAAACTAACCTTGCTAGTCATAGCCCGCATGTTTGACAACCGCATTATAATAATGCTGTTATCTCGAGCTTCTGGGGCTTGTGTTCCAGCAGCCAGGTAAATAGTAAGTGGATCAGTTGAGTTAACTTCAACCTCTCTGGAATCACCAAAAGCATCGAGAAGTGTATCGAAGGATAGAGAAGGCGCCTCTACTTGAAGTTGATAGTATATTCTGTAAACGGATTTATCCATAACAAGCTCTTCATCCTCTTCGAGGTTTCGTGAATAACCAGGAAGATAAATTTCTGGGGCTTTGACATCACCAACTTCCTCTTCTTCCTCATCAATTTTATCTAAATCCATCAGGTTTTCCTCTTGACTATCACTGTCATCATCGTACTCCATTCTCGATTTATCCATATTTGTAGAAATTGTAAGAGAATAACAGCACAAACTACACGTGAAAATGATATGTGCCGCAAATATCTAGGTCACTATTGCATATTCAAAGGCATTCAGTCATATTTTTTGTTATTTCAAATGAATAATAAATGAGTTATTAATTTATTAAATAATTTGATATTTTATTTTAACTAAAATATTTTATAAATTATGGAAATTTTCTTCTGGTATTTAAATATTATTGCGACATTTTTGCATTTTTCCCTATATACATCTAATATTGTGTTTTCAATTAGTTAATTTCAATGAATTGTAAAATAAAATAACTGTGCTACACTTATAATTTAATTGAATTCCTTTTTATCTCCATGGAGATATCTAAATTTGGTTATATAATGAGTAAATTAAATATGTTATTATCGTCAATTTTGACAATTTTTAATTATATTTATTACCATGAAACCAAAATTATTCATAATTCCTTATTGTTTTTAATCTTACTTCATGCCATCTCAAATATTCTTAATTAAGATTTTAAGGAGATAAGTCAGGGGCTCTGTTCTATTAGAAAATTAAATCTCACTTCTATTTTACTAGCGATCTTAAATATTTGTTTGCAGTTCACATTAAAACTGTCACTCGCCCAATCACTAGCAGGTAAGAAGACAGCCACGTCAATTTAGTCGCATTGTGTTAAATTGCAGGGCGATTTTCACATTCTCTTTCTATCAACATTAGATTTCGATTATATTTAATAACCACCTGAGAAAACTTTTTCTAAATTTATTATTGATTATTTGTTGCCCACTGATATGATTGGCTGTTTATGGAGCTTTTACCAATTCACGAAATATAATACGAAACAACAAGCGTTATCATTAACCAAATGATCTGTAAATGCTATTCTCTAGGCGCACGATGTACATTTTCCTTCATATTTTGTCAAAGTTGTTGTAAAATGGAATACCATAAAGCGTTATTATATACCTCGTATGAATCGGAATATTCTTTAAGCTACAAGGTGAAATCACCTTTTGCTAATAAGGATTGACGGTGACTTCGTGTATTTCTGACCTAATAATGCATTCGAAATGACTTCTTTAAGCTAACGCCACATTAAACTAATGAAAATATGTAAAGATAAACTCATTTCTTCATTTAACGTTTAACCCAGTAAGATAATTATGCGACTTTTCAGTTTCCGGCCTTTGGAAAGCAAGATTTTTTGCGCCACGGTATTAATTAACCTCTTCTTGTGTCATGGTACATCGATTTAAGCTACCACGTCCGTTGGCCCTTTGATGGATGATAAAACAGATGGAAAGTATTTTCCAAAGCAACATTGCCTTCAAATAGGACTATGTATAAAAGACCTGTTCCAATGACGAGAAGGATTTGTTTGAACTGCTCGTTTAAGCTCTCGAGTCAGCCTTGTGGCAAATCAATTTGACAGAGACCATGCTGGCTGTACGCCCACATTTCGAAAATATGAACACTGTGGTTTTATGACGGTGATTCCTCTTCATTTATCATAACTATGTAAAAGGACCCCAAAAAAATGTTGAGTGTACTCAGAGTACTCCCATGCATACATTAATAAATAGACAAAACAGTAAATAAATTTAGTCGTAACCAATGCTAAAATTACATAATTCACAAAGAAAATTTGTGGTGGAATAATTTTGGTCTAAATTTGCTTGGG